ATTATTTTCTAAAGAAAAATAATAAAACCTTGTCTTATTATTATGATTTTTTTGGTCAATCCCGGCCTTGCATTTCTGTTTAGGAGAGACAACGACAAGAAGAACTGTCTTGTGGCAGGCTTATGCAAGGTAAAGTATATATTCTTAATTTCTAATGTTCTTATTTTGATGTTAAAATTTTTTATATGTGTATGTGTGTTTATTGTGAGTGTATTTTAATTCATACTAAATATGCTTCTTCAAAGTATATGATCCAAGAATTTTTTCATTTGCAAGTAAAGTTCTTTAAAAATATTTAATATTTATTATTGCTATAAAATAAAATTAAAAATATTTAAAAGAGGAATAAAGCCTCTCTAACTATGTTTAACTTTTGTGAGGCTGAGAAACGCCTGAGGTGTGCTTTAATACAGATAGTCAGGCTGTTTTCTGTTAAGGCTGTGTTCTTCTTAAAAGGTATTTATGTATTAGATAGAAAGCATAGTTAAATTTTATTGATGTTAATATTATTAGAACACAAAAAGCAGTCTGTTTTCTGGTATATTCTGCCAACTTGAAATGATTTGATTTCAGAAAACTATGATAGTGTTGCCTTGAGCCATTGAGTGGTTAGTTCAGGATGGCAGACCTGCCAATAAGGGTCCTCCTTTTTTGTATGAGTTCCTCCAGTTCCATTCCACACTGGGACAAGGCAAGGAACTTCAGGTTGCAGTTTCTAAGGATCTGCTTCTGTTCTGATTTATGCTCATACCATAGCTTCAACAGGTAAAGTTGCTTGAGAGATAGAGTTGCCCAAAAGGTATCAGGGTTATGTGTCTGCCACTGTCTGCCTGAAAAGCAAAGGAAATGTATCAGAATGTGTTGATATTTCTCATAAAACAAAACAAAACAAAACAAAACAAAGCAACACAAACCCACTGCTGTCAAGTTCATTCCAACTCAGCAACCCTATGGGACAGTTGATTGGTCTATAGGATTTCTGATTCTGGAATCTGTGGAAGCAGACAACAGCCTCATCTTTCTCCTGTTGAGCAGCTGGTGGGTTCGAACCGCCAACTACTGCTTAGCTTGCTGTACCAGCAAGACTCCTTTAATATCCCTTGTTATTGTTGTTAAGTGCCCTTGAGTTGGTTCAGACTCAAAGTGACCTATTATAGGGTTTTCAAGGAGAAGCTGGTGGGTTGAATTGCTGATCTGACCTTAGCAGTCCAGTGCTTATCTTACTAAGACTCAATTTACTATCCCTTGTTGTTGTTGTTAAGCGCCATTGAGTCAGTTCTGATTCATAGCGACCCTGTATAGGGTTTCCAAGGAGCAGCTGGTGAATTTGAACCACCAACCTTGTGATTCAAACTGATCTTGTGGTCCAGTGCTTATTCTACAGTGCCACTTAGATATATTGAGATGTTACATGTTAAATCTTGTTATTGTAAACTTCTTAAAATGTTTGGCATCTTTTGTTGAATATCATATGCTTAATATTTAATTTGTGTTTCCAATGGCTCACAAAATACCAGTTGTTGTTTTTTTTTTTTTTAACCAAAGTATCTATCCTTTCCATCCTTGGGCTGGCTGGGCAGAGGCCACTGGAGTGTGGAGCTGTTCTAGCTAATAACCTCTAGCTGGTTGCAGCCTCGACTGATTGCCCTATATAAACTTTTCTATATATACACAGTATATATAGAAAGTCCCTGGTTGACTGCTAACTGAAGGGTTGACAGTTTGACCTACCCAGAGATATGTCAGAAGACAGGCAATCTGCTTCAAAAGGTCACAACCTTGATAACCCTAAGGAGTTCAGTTCTGCTCTGTATGTGTGAAATTGCCATGAGTTGACGCTGTCTTGGCAGCAACTAACAATAAGAACAACGTAATATCCTGTATCTGTATCTTCTCTGTATGTTGTTGTTGTTGTTATATGCATTATACATATAAACATCCTATATAGACGTTTCATCATTGTCTATCTGTTGATGTGATGTGAGAATGGAGTCCTGGTGTGGTGCTCTAGGATAAGCACTGACTGCTATCTGCGCAGTAGGCAGTTCAAACCCGCCACCTGCTTCTATATAAGGTCACTGTGAGTCAGAACCTGCTTGACAGAACTTAACAACAATGCAATTATACTGGGATTATTGTTCATTGAAATATTAACACATTTACTTGTATTATTCCTTACTTTCAAATTATGTGGAAATGATTTGTGTGGAAATTTCAGGGCTGTGTTACACTTATAAGGTGAAAAGTTTAGAAGGCTATGTTTCTTAGGTCTCCAACAGTGGATATTGTTGCTTGATATGTGTAATGTGTATATTTATTTTTTATATTTTGAAATGATTTATACTGGTTTTCTAGATCCTTCTTTGAGTGACCATATTGATTTTGTTAATCCTGAACAAAAATCATCTCAGACATCAGACAAAAAATTACTGAAGACTTCAGCATCGTCTGAAATGCTACCCTTATTGGATCATTGGAATGCGCAAAGTAAAAAAGTGTCACTTAGAGAAATAATGTCAGAAGAAATTGCCATACAGGAAAAGGAGAATTTGGTATGAGTTAGTATATTAAGCTACTGTCTTTGATCCTCGTTGATTGTGTGTATTTAATATGTGATTTCTATTTGATTCTGTTATTTCCTACTCAGGAATCTGTATTTAGCCCAGCTAGACTTGTTAAATTGAAAAATGTTTTAAATAGTTTTAAAGTTGAGGTTTTTGCTTGTGGAAAAATAGTTGATACTTCTGTAAATAAGCTACCTATGTTACGTCTGTGTTGTTTTAAATTTAATTTGATAGGTCATTGAGCCTGTTAAGTTTTCTTAAGTTTTATCATTTGCCTCTTTAGTTTTTTATTTCTACAAAAATAAGAATGAAATCTTTCGTTTAGTGATAATTTCACCTCTGAATTAGTAATAAGAAATATCTGTCTTGCAATTACAGTACAAGTAGTGTTCATCTTTAAAGCAGGTCTTTCCCTTTGCATGCATCTCCCTAGTGTTCTTGTTCATCTTATAGACCAGCCTATTGTTTGGCAGAAAATTGAGCCACGGGGATGAGTTCATTCAGTTCCAGGCATGAATGGTGACTAAGTGTCAAAGTCTTGAACTTTTAAGAAAAACCCTAGAAACTTATGAATTGGAATTTAAAAAATGAAATACTTGTCTGACTTCAATTGAACAAATTCAGACAGAAACTCCACTTTATTTTAAACTTTGTATTTATTTATGTTACTTATTTTAACACAGTTATTTAGTTGAAAAGGTGCACTGGTAGCATTGTTGTTGTTGTTGTCAGGTGCCATCGAGTCGGAACCGACTCATAGCGACCCCATGCACAGCAGAACGAAACAATGTCCGATCCTGGGCCAACCTCACTACTGCTGCCACACTTGAGTCCATCAATGATGCCACCTGGCCGATCCATCTCGTTGGGGGTCTTCCTCTTTTTCTCTGACCCTCCACCCTACCCAGCATGACATCCTTCTCCAACGATTGTTTCCTCCGGACAATGTGTCCAAAGTAGGAGAGATGAAGCTTAGCCATCCTGGCCTCCAAGGAGCACTCTGGCTGCACTTCTTCCAAAACAGATCTATTGGTTCTTTTGGCAGTCCATGGTACTTTCAGTATTCTCCTCCAACACCACAACTCAAAGGCATCAATTCTTCTACGATCTTCCTTATTCACTGTCCAGCTTTCGCATCCATATGAGGCTATTGAAAACACAATGGCCTGGGTCAGGCGCACCTTAGTCCTCAAGCTGACATCTCTGTTCTTCAATACTTTGAAAAGTTCCTGTGCAGAAGATTTGCCCAATGCAATACGTCGTCTGATCTCTTGACTGCTGCTTCCGTGAGTGTTGATAGTTGATCCAAGAAGAATGAAGTCCTTGACAACTTCAATCTTTTCTCCATTGATAAGAATGTTGTTTATTGGTCCAGTGGTGAGGATTTTTGTTTTCTTGACATTGAGATGTTGGTAACTTAGTGGGTTATTTATGAGTTGGGCTACTAACCTCAAGGTTAGCAGTTTAAATCTATCAGCTGCTCTGTGGAGAAAGATGAGATTTTCTGCTCCTGTAAAGGTTTACAACCAGAGTCTCTATGAGTGAGAACCTGCTCCATCAGACACAATCACATCACCACCAATTATTTGAAGCAGCAAGGAAATTGGTTTCTTATGTATTTCTTCTTTCTAGCCTTTTTGGGGATTCTTAAAAGTGTCAAAATAAAAGACCTTAGAATTTATTTAGTCTAATTCTCCTGGAAAGAAATCTTTACTTAGATGATAATCATAAAATATTTTTTATACTTTCTTTTTTATTTTAGTGCTCAAAAGATCACATTTATATTTAATTAAAATGCGGGATATGCAAAGATTAATGGAATTCCTTCACCTTCTCTTTGTTCTGCAAGTTATTTTATTAATTAAATTGGAAATATGCTACCATTCCCACCTTGAATCTTTATGTAATCCAAGCAGTAATCTCTTCAACAGAATTTCATGCTTTAAATGTTGGTTCAAACACTCTCTTCAATTTGTATGTATAATAGATTGGAAAAGGAATTTTCTGTAAAAATAATGAAGACTTACGTTCAATTCGTGGGATGCTTTTAGTTGAAATGCCATTTTCCACTACCGAAATTCTTGTAATCTACCTTTTCATCCCAATGTAATAATGAGTCAATTAACTTTTTACTTTCCAGCTTGAAAAAACCAAAAGACCAGTTATTTCTGTTTTTCTTTCTGTGAGTTGGGTAATAGAATCTGGACTACTTTGGTCCCAAGGACATCAGAAGGAATTTGTTTTTTTCCTTATTCTGTCCTCAAAGAAGAAATACACTACGTTTTTTTTTTTTTTTTTTTCAACTTGTGAATTGAGTAAAGGTTTACAGACAAGATCATCAGCTTTGTGTTAAAACACTTCATCTCAATTATTACAATCTCCTCCATATATCAACAATTATCCTGCTTCCTCTCTGTGATTCCTATTTTTACTCTACCCACTTTTCGATCCCTTCTCAGCTTTGTCTTTAAGAAAATATTGCCCTTTTAATTTTGAATGATTGACATTTCCATGGTGAGCATACCTTTATAGTGTTGCTGTCCTCCTCTATAAACTGTCTACTGCTTGGCTAAAATTTGGGCCACGAGGGTAAGTTCTTTTCCAGACCTGAACGGTGGTCGAAGACATAGCCTAAGGTTTCTCCAGTCTCTTTCTGACCAGTAAACCCAGTCTTCCAAAGACTGGGTTGTTATTAGGTGCCTTCAAGTCAGCACTGACTCATAGTGACCCTATGCACAACAGAACAAAACACTGCCTGGTCCTGGCCAACCTCACAATTGTTGCTAAACCTGAGCCCATTGCTGCTGCCAACGTGCAAATCCATCTCATTGGGGGTTGTCCTCTTTTTCTTTGACCCTCCGCTTTACCAAATACAGTATCTTTCTCCAGGGACTTCTTCCTCCTGACAATATGTCCTAAGTATGCAAGGTAAAGTCTGGTCAAACTGGCTTCCAAGGAGCACTCTGTCTTCCAAGGAGCACTCCAAGGAGTACTTCTTCCAACACAGATCTGTTTATTCTTTTGGCAGCCCATAGTACCTTCAGTATTCTCCTCCAACATATTAACTCAAATGCATCAATTCTTCTGTGGACTTCCTTATTCACTGTCCAACGTTCATAAGCATATTACGTTGTCGAAAGTACCATGGCGTGGGTTAGGCGTACCTTAGTCCTCAAACTGACATCTTTGAACTCCCTAGAGAGGTCTTGTTCTGCAGATTTACCTAATGCAATATGTTGTTTGATTTCTTGACTGCTGCTTCTATGAGTGTTGATGGTGGAAACAAACAAAATGAAGTCTGTGACAACTTCAATCTTTTCTCCATTTATATGGATGTTGTTTATTGCTACATGGTAAGGATTTTTGTTTTCTTTAAGTTGAGGAGCAACCTATACCGAAGGCTGTGGTCTTTGATCTCCATCAGTATATATTTTAAGCCCTCTTCCCTTTCAGCAAGCAAGGTTGGATCATCTGAATTTCGCAGGTTGTTAATGAGTCTTCCTCCAATCCTGATGCCTTGTTTTTCTTCATATAGTCCAGTTTTTCAGATTATGTGCTCAGCCTACAGATTGAATAAGTATGGTGAAAGAATACAACCCTGGCTCACACCTTTCTTAATTATAAACCATTCAGTGTTCCCTTGTTCAAACAACTGCCTCTTGGTCTATGGACAGGTTGCTCATGATCACAATTGCGTGTTCTGGAATACTAATTTTTTGCAACGTTGTCCATAGTGTGTCATAATCCATACAATCGAAAGCCTTTGAATAGTCAGTAAAGCACAGGTAGATATCTTTTTGGTATTCTGTGCTTTTAGTAAAGATCCATCTGACATCAGCAATGATATCCCTCGTTCCACGTCCTCTTCTGAATCTGGCTTGAACCTCTGGAAGTTCTGTGTCAATGTATCGTTGCAGCCATTTCTATATTACCTTTAGTAATACTTTACTCACATGGGATATCAAAGATATTGTCTGATGATTTCTGCATTCCATTGGGTCACCTCTCTTTGGAATAGACACAACTTCCATCAGTGGGTCAGATGTTGTCTTCCAAATTTCTTGGCATAGATAAGTGAGTGCCTCCAGTGCCGCCTCACTTTCTTGAAAAATTTCAATTTTTATTCCATCAATTCTGATGCCTTGTTCTTTGTCAATACCTTCAATGCACCTTGGACTTCCTCCTTCAGTATCAGTAGCTTTTCAGTAGGGTTTTGTTCAATTTCTAGGTATTTGATTTTGTTTCCTTAATCTAACTATTGTTGATGTCTAATTTTACAGCATTGTTATCTGAGAAAATGGTTTGTAATATTTTGATGATTTAAAATTTATTGAGACTTACTTTATGGTCTGACATATGGTCTATTCTGGAGAATGTTCCATGTGTACTGGAAAAGACTGTAGTGTGCTGTTGTTGGGATGAGTGCTCTGTATAAGTCTATGAGATCATGTTGTTTGATTGTGTTGTTTAGTTCCTCTGTGTCTTTGTTGAGTTTCTTTCTGGTTATTCTATCCTTTTTTGAAAGTGTTGTATCATAACCTCCTACTGCAAATCACAAGGTCGGCAGTTCAAACCTACCAGCTGCTCCTTGGAAACCTTGTACAGGGTTGTTATGGGTTGGAATCGACTTGATGGCACTTAACAACAACAACTATTATGGTAGGGTTGTTTACTACTTCAATTCTAGAGTCAGATTTATGTATTTTGAGGCTCTTTCATTAGGAGTTAGATATTTATTATGGTAATTGCCTCTTGTTCACTTGACCTTTTAATCATGAGATAATACCCTTTTTTGTCTCTTATGCTTGTTTTTGCCTTAAAATCTTATTTTATCGGAAATCAATATTGCCACTACTGCTCATTTTTCATAGTCAATAGTTTGATATGTTTTTTTTCAACCTTTAATTTTTAATCTATGTTTCCTTTTATTTGTAAGGCATATTGAAGATCCTGTTTACTTATCCATTCTGTTATTCTCTGTCTCTTGA